CTTCAAGCCTTCCGTAATGGGGTTTGTCTCCCACCTCGTTTCTCATCATGCGGACCCAATTATTCAATGGTGCTGATTTCATAATGGAATCAAACAAAAGCGCCTGAATCAACGAGAAAGTGTAGGACTAGTGAGTGGAAAAAAACTAGAAATGGAAAATGATCGAAAAAATGTAAGAAACCTCTTTATTAGTGAAACAATATATTATTGTTATCATTAAGCCTTGATACATATAAGTGAATGAGGCACAGTATGTCCATATCGCAAAATACTGAAATAGAATATATGCTGTAATGTAATCGAGACAGTGCCACAATCACACTATCGAAGAAAAAATCAAGTGAAGCAAAACAAAACTACATAGCAAGAAGAAATGAGCTTGATGTTTTACGAAGAGATCGCAACACCTACCATGATGTTTTCTCGTGTAGGTGAGAATGGAATGGTCTGCATTATATTCGGTATGCCTAACAAAGGGATTAACATAAGAGCAGCTTTCACACTCTTCCTGAAATCAATAAATTGTTCCATTTCATGATGCCGGAACTCTGGGAGCTTTTGAAAGCCTTCTCAAGGTTTTGGATAAAACTGATCATTCAATGAATGCCTCGATAAGTATGTCTAACGCCTCGAAGATAACCAATTATGATGGACATAGCCGAGTCCAGAAAAGAATCTGTTGATTAAGAATAAGAGAATGGATCTAAATCAAAACAACTGACTTCATTCGGTCCATCTCGCTCGTGTTATGCGTATCGCGCACTTTTGTCCACAATACCCGTATAACATTACAAATGAAAAATAAATTCAACTGAAAACCATTTCATTCAATAATTTCAACAGCATAAACCAACAAGTTCATGACAATTACAGCGGGAACATTCGTCAAAATGTTTCTTTCCAGAAATATGTGAGGCTATTCTTTAGATGGATTAACAGAGTTGGAAAAAAATATTTTAGTTTCTTATATTTTCTTATAAAAAATATTCTTATATTTTTAGTTTCTTCAAATGGTTCAGCGAAATGAATGTTCAGATACAAGAAATAAATGTCATTCGGTTGAAGACATGGCCATCCTCCAATGACTTTGAGTGCATAATTTAGCTGTACTGAACTATTTGTGAATAATTTCGAAGAGAAGAATGAAAATGAACACACAACGAGCTCGAACATCCTGGGACCATCGAGTATCCAGAATTCAGGCTCAAGGTAATACGACCCAAGACACCTCTCAATTTTGCCTTGTTTCTTGTATACTACAACTCCCAACCAAATAAATGTATGCGCCAGTGGAAAGCCTGGAATGCTTTACATTATTTCTGAGCGTGACTTGCTCAATTACACAGAATCAAACATATTTCAATGCTTTGCTCTCGAAACATAAGCTTCGGAAGTATTCGAAGTGTTTTTGCATAGTTGCTTGAATATAATGAACTGAAAAAATATATTTTATTGCATGGAAACTTATTCGAAATCGAACCATATCCGGCGATGAGGTATGGCGATAGGCGAGGTTCCGAGTTAAATACAGTGAACACGAGCTGATTATGCAAGTAAAATCCCTCTAAAAACATCCACCCAAAGGCAACCGTTTTGAAATATTCCAATAGAAAAAACATCATTTCGCATACGAATACCTGCAAATGAAGGATAAATGTAAATGCTCAGTGGAGCTGAAATGAGATCACGAGAATATTCACCCAGTGGCTGCTTTTTTTTTCAGTTGTCTCAGATTCGTGCTTAATCAAATCGAACAGAAAATATTTACATTTCGAAAGAATTGCCCGAAAAATTGACAACCGAAAATGTTTTTCAATATACCAAAACACAAACCATTGTATTAATGGTTTTTCCATCTGGATGCGTATGCGCAGGACCGAGGCGGTCGGTAAATATCAGATCAATATAAAGTACAAGTCGAATGATCACAACCATCAAAATTGCAATCATCAGTTGTAAATGCAACAAATTGCGGAATACTCGCAATCGTCTGAAATTCTTCGAGAAATGAAACGCTGCAAAGATGAAATCTGCAGAAAATGTCGCAGTCAAAAATGCTTGCGATGCTGATTTCAATTGAAACAAAACAATGCAAAATGATTCAGATAAGATAAAAAACAATTTATAGACATAAAATGACGTTAAATATTGCCTCAGTAATGACTGTTCCCATAAAGTTGCCCGTGAACTCCTCAATTTCTTTTTGCATTCATTCAACTGACACTTTAAAAGCCTTTTTAGTTACACTGCGGATGCGTGACTGCTCATGATAGAAAACGATGAAACTAATAGTTCAAGTGAATGATCCATATCGGTTGAAAGCATAAATGTGAACTGAGTGATACCATACTACGAACGCCAGACCTTGTTACTCAAAAAACAACTTTAATTCACTTCAGTCATTCTGAGTGCATTCGAGTTAATTTCAGTGATTGACACGAAGTTTTCTCGCACTTCAAACGTTATGCAATCCTTAATAGTCACCCTTTGTATACTCAATTAGCAAAGAAATTCAATTCAGAAGAATGGTTACCTGAAATACGAAAAAATAGCAATCGAAATCAATAAGGACACCAGTGAAAGACCAAGTCCAACGAATTCTAATTTCCGAGCGTTTCGAGCAACCTCTTGTGCGATCTGATAATACATTTAATCATTTACTTTTTCAATACGGGAGAAATACACACATTTTGCACTTCAAAGCAACGCAATGCGGCACACGCAAAAATGCAGATTTATTCTTAAACATTCCTTCAGTGGATTTGATGACTGGAAATGCTTTTTTTGACAAAACTCCGATTGACTTCATAAAAATATTATCCGATCTCAATTTGTGGTCAATCAAATTATTCTGCTGTCACAGTGGTTTTCCATTGAAGCGTATTTTCGTGGATGATTAGCTTTTGAAATTTATTGAAATCAATTGATTTTGAATGACAGAGCGAAACAAAATCAGATTACCGATGCAACATTGAATGCACAATGTTAGCAAGCATCAGCTTCAAAAGCATTATTTATTGGTTAGTTCTTGTTTTGAACAGTCGAGAAGATTAACGGATGACAAGAAGTGAGTGAATTTTAGAATCAACTGAAAGCGATTAACAACAAAAATCGAAGCACTGCCAAATGGCTGAGGATTTGGATGGATACGATGAAATATGGCATCAAAATGTGAAATTCCCTCAGCGCTTATCGCAGAGATGAAGAGTGGTAACGTGTTGTGAAACAGAGTTAATCGAAGATTGCGAAGTAATGATAGATGATGCACTACCCCGAGAGAGCCATTAGTGAGCTTTGTCATCATATCGATAACCTCTTGCGTGAAGCACATTGTGAAGTTTGTCCAACCATGCGCTCTGGAGAAGTCGCCTTCTGTTCGACCCATCCAGCGACCCGAACTGTGACACCATTTCGAGATGTTTTCTAAACACGCATAAATACTTATCGAAATCTAACATTCCAACTTCTTCTCGCCAATTTCGAATTCACCATCAAATTTTGGTTATTCACTGACCAATTAATTCATTTCAAAGTGCATG